CTCGGCATGAGGGAGTAATGCCGGAAGATCAGCCGTGCGAACTGACGTTGTGGAGCTCGCCTCAGAATGCGTACTCATTCTTTCACATCCGAGGACGTCTTAGAGCTCCATATCCATTCAGGCCCAGCGATCATAGCAGGCGTATACGACGCACTCTCTACGATACCTGGTTGTCGAATAGCCGAACGGGGCGAGTTTACAAGGAGAGCCTTTGAAGCTGGGAAACTAGACTTGACTCAGGTCGAAGGGCTGCAAGACCTCATCGACGCCGAGACAGAAGAGCAGCGCAAATGGGCGCTTGGAGCGACACAGGTTTGACGATTATCAAGTCTATTGTGACTCTACGTACTGACTAATGATTGGCGCCAGGGCACTGTTCGCGACGAAATTGAGAAGCTGCGAGATGAGATTATCGCGAGTTTGATGCTCTGTGAGGCAGAGATAGACTTTGGGGATACAGAAGATATTGACAAGGACAATATTGAACAGGGTTCGGCGTTTTGATCAGTCTTTCAATACACCTCACTGACATGGCTTATTTTGAAGCACGAAACAGGGTCGCTTCTCTGCTAGAGAGAATACAAGGGCACCTCAAAGACAGCAGAAGAGGAGAGATAATGCGTTCTGGGATCAAGGTCGCGATATTTGGCGAGCCGAATGCCGGCAAGAGCTCTCTATTGAACTGGCTAGGTGAGTTACACTTGCGATCGCAATTTCCCGGTATCATCCCCTATTTCATGGCTAAAATTAAATATAGCACGACGTCAAGCCGCTATTGTGACGCCTGTCCCCGGTACGACTCGTGACGTTTTGGAGGTGTCTCTCGATGTCGAAGGCCTTCCTTTGATTGTCTGTGACACTGCTGGACTTCGAGAAACTCAAGATGTAGTGGAGAGTATTGGGGTTGAGAGGGCCATCAATGCGTACGTCTTTGTGTTCTTCTGCGTCTAGATGAAAGCTGAAGTCTGCCGAATCCATCTGATGGCGGATATTCCCCTGACGATTGCTGATACGTACCTTGACCATGTGCCAAAGCGTTCGAGATGCGGATATAGCCCTCTGTGTGGTATCTATTCCCGAGATGGAACGACGTCATTCTAATCAGAGTGGCGGAGAAAGTTTACTCGCACAATGGCCAGCCGAGATCCAGGCTCTACTTACCGAACAGACGATGGTGCTATTCAACAAGGTTGATCTTGCCGCGCGATCGGCTCCACAGGACCAGCACCTGGCGCGATCACTCGAGGGGGCTTGGGGCGCCGAGATAAAGGCCAACTCGACCAGAAGTCCTACCCACTGGGCGGCGAGTGTGACGACGGGCGAGGGGATGAAAGAGTTTATCAAGGGGTTCTCGCAAGCCATAAAAGAACGGTGCGTACTACCCTTTGGGGCTGAGGTTGGCGACCAAGTTATCAGGGCCAGGGGGTTGGGTTGAACATGACGTTTTTACTATATAGATTCCTATTGCTACCGGAGCATGGAGGTGTACCCGGCAAGGCTGAGCCCATGATACGCCATGCGCGGCAGCGCGCGCATATGGAGAATGCTGTTGGGTTTCTCGAGGCGTTTCTTCGGTGCGTTAACGGTGAGGACGCGGGAAGCAATGTCGTGTTGGGGGCAGAAGAGCTGCGTTATGCAGCGAAGGAGATCGGGGATATTTCTAGGTCGGTGACCACTGACGATGTGCTTGACGCAGTGTTCAAGAACTTTTGCATTGGAAAATGAAGGATATGATAATATGATCGTTATCTATATCGATAGCCCTTGAGGGTTTTTGAGCGTGGTTTGGATAAACTTTGACCTAATACACGATCGCCTCGACGTCATGTAAGACTAAAAAGGCCCTCAACTCTTTTGTTCCAAACTTCGACCTGTTCCCCTCTCGAGCATCCGCTCCTTTCAGCCTGCATGGGTGTTCTTCAGACGCTCTTTAATCAACCGAGTCGCACTTATTCTGATCCAGCGACTCAGCAAAAGGCTGGCCCGCCACAAGACACTAAAGTAGTAGCAGCACCAGCCGGCGACCCAGTGGCCAGTGCTGCGGCAGAAGAAAGGACGACTCGACGGTCGCAATACTACTCCGCCGCCGCAGATCCTCGTCTGCGAAAGGAATGGGAGTATCTTCTACAACAGGATAGACGTCCTCGAACGAGACGTCCTGTCAGTGCTGGCGCAGGTGTTGCTAACGGCCAGCGGCTCCCTCTCCAGACCCTGTCGGTCCCCAGAGCCACCCCAAAGTCATCGGCTGGTGGAAGCAAGGATGAAGACGAGAAGGAAGAGTTTTTTACACCCCATACGTCGCCTCAAGCGTCCCCGCAAACAGCTGCCCTTGACCTCGCAAGTTACTCGCCCGTGATCCCAATGCAATCCCTAACACTTGCCGCATCCCCCGAAACCCGTCCCTCTCGCAATCCCCCATCAAGCATCGCGTCAAGTAGCAGCAGCATAAATCCTAGTTATGCTTCGTCCGTCACATCCTCTGATGACAATTACACAAACTATTCAATGAGGCGACAGTTGAATTACCTTAGCCACTTCCAACAGTCCCATCACCCAGTCTCCTTTTCGAACGGTAGAAACTCCATATCCGGCCTCCAACACTCGACCACAAAACCCTCGACCTGGAATAAACCCATACCCATCCGCCGTCTTACTCTTCTCCCTAGCAAGTGTGACATCGAGACCTTCCAACGCGACACATTCGACCTTGACCAAAACCTGATTACTTTGAATTTTGGAAGGTGAAGCAACGTGTGAAGTCAGGGACACGAATGGAGTGTCATCGATCATCAAGTGACTGGGAGTACTATCCACCGAGCTTCTTGGAGTAATGACGTTGGGCAAGGAGAATTTTCTGTTCCTTGTCAACGATTCTGCAGCGTGTTTTGTGACAGAGATTGTAGACATGGTGGTCGATCCAACACCTGTTGACACGACATCTACCGAGCTTGTAATTCGATCTGGGTGCTTGGCAGGCTGGTAATTTGCCCGAGGAAAGACGAGAGAGGTATAGGTCGTCGGCTCGGCATGAGGGAGTAATGCCGGAAGATCAGCCGTGCGAACTGACGTTGTGGAGCTCGCCTCAGAATGCGTACTCA